TCAGTGTCTTTAAAAAAATAAGAATTTAATTAGCTCTTCACATGCCAAGAGAAAAAAATAAGCATTTATTACTGCTTTCATCTATAGGTCAGCTGGGAAGTTCTTGGGATCTCTTGGGCCTACTTATGCATCTGCAGCCAGCTTTGCTGGTCTTGCTTGGATTCTCTCATCAGCTTTGGAGGGCCAGAGGGCTGTAGACTGGCCTCGGGTGCTTTCTCAGCTTAGACAACTGGCTCTCCTTATGTTCTCTCCTCCTCCGGCAGGACAGCCTAGGTGATATAACAGAGTGAGTGGAGGTGTTGTAACAGAGTGAGTAGAAGCATGCAAAGCCTTTTGAGACCTAAGCTCAGAACTGAAAAATTGTCTCTTTTGCATCATTCTGTTGGCTCTGGTAAATTACAAGTCCACTCTGGATTGAAGACGTGGGCACATAGATTGCATGTCACAATGGGAGAGCTGGGAAGTCACAATCCAAAGAGTGTGGACAAGGAGTCAAGAACAATTGGAGCCTTACTGTAATCAGACTAGCTCACATAGGCGTTCTTCATTTCTCCAAAAACAATCTAAATGGGTTTAAAATTATCATAATTTTCTAGATAATTTTTTAGTGAATACATTTGAATGCCCCACACACATTTAAATATGGAATGCTAGGGAAAGATGGAGTGAGTCCTGGGGCAAGGCTAGTATCAATTCATCAGTCATAGTGATCAGGATGTCACTCATCAGAAATGATAGCATCTGTATGTGGCTTGGTGAAAATATTTATTATATTTCTGTATATATTATCATGAGAAGAAAAATAAATTTATAAAAACCTTTTAAAATATATCAAATATTGATTTTGAACAAAATTTTCAAATAAATCTTCTAAAAATCATAATGAGAAACTTGCCTTCATAAACATAATTTTTTAAAAACCAGGCTTGATGCTGGAAATGTAGTGCATTTCCAGATGTAGTGCCTGAGTAAAACTTTTAATGATAATCTGAAGAAAATTTGAAGAGAAAGTTTTGGTAATGACCATCTTTTGTGAATAAGGAAGTGTTAGGAAGTCTCCCACTTCCAATAATGGTGGACCCTTTCTCTCTAATCTGTACCAACCTTCTGGTACACAATGAAGGAGGCTGGGGGGAATTAAATATTAGGATCAGCTAACTGCTGAAACAGACAACATGCAAACAAATCTGGAGGCTTCATAAATACACATGGTTATTTTGCTCGTATCACCATCCCCAGGCTGTGTTATGTTCTATTCATATGTTGACTCACTAATTCATTCACATATACTAACCGCTTTCTGTGTGTCGTGTCCTGCTTTAGCGGCTCTTCATTACGTGGGCCTCAGGCTTTCCCTGGCAAGCGGTGCTCATAGTATCTCCACAGACATGTGGGAGATAGCGGGCCAGTGGCAGAAGCTGTTTTCACCATCTCCATGTGGCTTCATGGAAGGTGAATGTGCCAGGATGGCAGAAATTTTGGTGGATTAGGGACAGCAGGAAGGACCAACGGGAGCAGCTTTTGCCTCCTGTGTGGAAAGGCAGAGGCAGGTTGGAATCAGTTGAATTGTCTTCTTCTTTAGCCTGCTGGGTTTCATGAGCTGAGGAAGAGGTTACTTAATAGTTAATAAAAGAATAACTACTGTTTGTTGTCTCTTGTATTCCAAATAGTGTATATGCATATATCATTTCATGTACTTCTCACGTGAACTCTGTAAGTTAATAACTAACATTTTGAACACTTACCATGTGGCGGCTGTAGTTGTGAGATTTTGCATGCAGTCAACACATTGAATAATTGGGACAAACCTGTGAGACAGGTCCTGTGATGGGGGACACAGAAGTTCAGAGAGACTTACTCAAGGTCACATGACCAGAAGTGACAGACCAAAGCCTCTTCTGATCTGTTGTGTATTTTTGTCCACAACCGTTTAACTTATTTTAATTAATGAATAAAAGCATTTCTGATTAATAAGAAGTCCCCATCTGTCACCAAATTCAATTCTGAAAGTTTGTCACTTCTTGGACAGTTCAACATTGAAGCCAAGTATTAAAAAAACACACGCTTTTAATATTTACTTAAAAAAATCTTTTTTATATTTAAAATTAATCTTAATCTCAGTGAAGCTGATTTCTTTTGGGAAAAGACTGCCTTAATTAATACAAGTCATTCTTCTTTCTCATGTTTTTAAGGAAAAAATAATATTGCTATCTAACCATGGACCATATTGGGATTTCCTTGGCAATTAACAACCTTTCCTGTTTTAATGGCTTTTTATTGTAGTAAAATAACAGCATAGAATTTACCATTTTTATCATTTTAACGTTAAGTAACGTCACACCGTTGTGCAGTCATCATCAGTGTCCATCTATAGAACTTTTTCATCATCGCAAACTAAACCTTTGTGTCCATTAAACACTAACTCCTCGTTCTCTCCAATGACTATTGTTTCGAAAGGAGATAGAAAACTACTAAAGCTTAGTTTTCTTTTCGTGAATGAGCACGTAATTGTTTTAGGGCTATTAAGGAAAGGGATATTTGCTAATATAATGGCAAATGCAGAACCTACTGACAATGGTATATAATTTGTAAAAATAGCTGAGTGGGCAAAATTCTGATTTTCAGTTGCCCTAGGCACTTCAGTGTACTTCTGATGATGATTTTCCTTGGGCATGTAGTTATACTGAGAGAAATCACATCCATGCATAAAGAGTGAGCTTAATTATATGTAACTACATACTGAAGATGAGGTTTTACATTTTTTTACATACACTTACTTATTTACAGAAGATGAGACACTAAATTCTAACTTACCTCAAAAAAGTCGTGTGTGTCGCCCTCAGAGCATGAGAGTTTTATTGTGTGTTATCCTTTCTTGCATGATGACACTGTATTTGCCCCCCAACCCCCCGCGCCGCCCCTACTTTGGTGATTGTTTTCATTACACGAGGATTCCACAGTCTCATCTGGTCCTTGCTGTGACTCTGAGGACAGAGAGGTGCACAAAGGCTGACTGAGGGTTTAGGGTGGTGCAACGAAATGAACTGGTCCCATAGCAATGACACTTCTTTGCATCCTCTGTTCATTTGTACTGATCCTAATCATTTAAACTCAAAATAGTAAAAATTAAAAGCAGCCAAAATGGTCTGGTTGTTCATGTATTCCCCAGGCACTGTGCTAAATGCTTTACGTGTATGATTTCATTTCATCTTAATAACCCTATGAGATAGGAATCAAATTCCCATATCACTGATACTAAGGAACACTAAGGAACAGAAAGATTACTTAACTTGCCAAAAGCACATAGTTTCTATTAACAAACTGTGGATTCAAATCCAAGCATTCTCAAGCCCTTGTTCCTAACTACTCTGTTAACACACACTCCTGGTCCATATCAGGGTGGACGGCACGGTTTCCTTGTAAGAGAGTCAAGGCTAAACCAACCACACACACACACACAATACACAGACACTCCCTCAAGACACCATATGGCTGAGGTGAGCAGGGGAGTCTCGCCAAGGTCACGCGCTGGTCTGGAGGTAAAAGCGCTCCAGCAAGGGAGGGAAGTGGGAAAAGCAAGGTTATCACCTTCTTTTCTCATTTGGTATCTGGTTGGTGAGAGGAGATGGGGAACATCCCTAAGCAGACTCCCAGAGGGGTCCGGTGATTCTTTGGGCTCCCTCTCGTTCTCTGCCTCTTTGTCCCCGGTCTACAGATTGCTGTCTCCTCCTTAGAAGTGTTGTCCCTTGATAGAAGTGGCAACCTCTTCTCCAGAACTTGACTCTCAGGTTTACTCTTACCTCCCAGGCCTCCATGAGTTATGCTCTTTCCTCGGCATAGCTGTTTTCAGCTGGTTGTTAGGCTAGCAGTGGGCTTAAGTTAATGGGCTCTAAGGTGAGCATGACTCTCCCCCGCCTCACAATTCCCTAATTCTCCCAGGCCTGTCTGCATTTCTGAAAGAAGTTTTCATACTAATGACTCCCCAAGTGAGGAGGACATCTCTGGACTGGGAGATGTATTCTGTCAGACATTGAGGAGTCTTCGTGCCTGTGCCCAGCACCAGGAATGGGTCAGGGGACCCAGGAGCTTCTTGAGAAACCTCCCAGGAGACCCTGGCCACTCAGTCTCTGGTCCCCCCACACTCGAGTGGGGCCAGGTACACTCCCCTGAACCCTGCTCATGGGTTCTGTTCACAGGTTCAGTCACCCACACACAACTCACAGTGAGGAGGGGTGACATTTCCTGTGAATGTTTCAAAACCCAAAGAACATGTTTGCAGATAGTTTCATAATTTTCGCAAGTTAAATTCACGTTTCAGGAACATTATATCTGTAGGTGGCATCTTTGTGAATAATTTTGTGGACCTTGATCCCTATAACCTCCCGGAATCAAGAGGTCGTGGCATGCCATGCCAAATCCTGCTGAGGTCTCCGTCTGCTTCTGGCCATTAAACTCCCCTACTGTCTGCTGTAGAGGCTACCAGTTGTCTCCTACATTACACCTGAGTAATTGTACCTCAACTTACATGAAACTATTTTCTGATGAGTTTCATACTGAAGTATAGTCTACATTTCAAAAGGGTGACATAATATTCCGCTTGTCCTTATAAGATAGCTCTATTCGACAACAGTGGCTGTTTGTGGTTGGGTCCTAGGAAGGATTTGTTTGGGCATGTTTAAAGTTATGTCATAGAAATAAAAAGAGTGAAGACTGGATTTAGGATGGGGGCCTACAAGTTACCCCTGAGAGAGGTGGCTGGAGATATTCTTTCACTCCATCCATACTCTCGTCTCCTTTTTGCCCCCCCCCCCCACCCCCGAGTATACTCCGTCCTTAGCCTGTTCTGAAAACACTGCGTCATTTGGTCAAGTTGCCCCAAAGCTACCACTTGGGTCACATCATGACAAAAAAAAAAAAGTGTTTTTCTAATGCAACTAATCCAAGAACATCCAGAATTGGCTTATTTTAATTTTCTATCCTCTATTTCCTTTTAATTACAGCCACTTGGAGCCAGTGACTATTTGGAACTGTCAAAGAATTTTGATACAGTATTTTTGCGAAACATTCCACAGTTTACACTGGCAAAAAGGACTCAGGCTCGAAGATTCATAACTCTCATTGATAACTTTTATGATTTCAAGGTAAGGATGTAATGTGCATTTTCTCAAAACTGAACGTTTTCTCAAAACTGAGTAATGTGGAGCCAGATTACTGGGCTAGAATCCTGGCCTACCATTTAGTTTACTTCTTTGTACCTTAATTCCCTCAACTATAAATCGGGATAGTAATATTTTTCACTTCAGAGAATTGTGAGGACAAAATGAGCTAATCCATGTAAAGCATTTAAAAGAATGCTTGGCACAAGCTGAGTGCTGTGTAAGTACTAGTAGTACTAGTAGTGGTAGTATAATAAAACTCCCATCATAAGACCCTACGCTGTATTAATGATTCCATCATTCAGCTAGACATACCACGTGTATATCTATGATGATGTACAACACAGTGCGTCACCTAAACTGAGTGCTCAATGCATTATTTGTTGAATGAATAAATGATAGAACTTATAAAATAATGAATGATAAATGAATAAATATCTAAAGGACCTCCTCAGTATTCGCTCTCTGTCTCCCTATGGTCCAGAAACCCTAGTAACTAGCATTGTACCATCTTGTTGGGTTTTGTAGCCATGTGTTTCAGCCTAAGTTGCAGAGCCATTGTCCATTCATCAGACGCAGTGTAGCCTCCTGGATAAGGAGTGGGCCCTTTGAGGACCAGCTTAACCTCTGAAGATTCAGTTGCCTACTGTAGAAAAAGTAACAGTAGTACTTATGTCACGTGGCTGTTGTGAGGATTAAATGAAGGTGTTAAACACTTAGAACATCATGTGGCATGTAGTAAGTTTTCAGTGAAAGGGAGCCACAATTGATAGTCTATGTCTGTAAATGTATATTTACAGTAAAATTATTAGTACAACTTCAAACGAGTTCATTTAAATATTATTGACCTGTTATACAGAAATAGATAGAGCAGTGATTTTAAAATTGAAGGGACTTTGGTGGGAGGATGAAAGTGCCAGAATCTGCTGGGAGGGAGAGGTGAGACTTTAATGTTTCCTTTATCCATTTTTTTTAACAGCCTTGATCTGTACGTAGGCCAGTGCTCAGTCCCCTGAGCCACAGCAGCCAGGGCCTTAACGGCCTTTATCATATGAAGCCCAGGGCTAAGCGCTAGAAGTTCAATGACAAGCAAAGCCGGATGTGGTAGCTGCCATCATGGAATTTGTAGTTTAGTGGCAGAGAAACATTAATCAAATGTCTGCAGAACTAATTGTGAAGTCACCACTGTGGGATGATCTCCTGGACATATGGTGCCCTGAGAGTCTAGGGGGAAAGCAGGCTGATCTTCATGGGGGGCAGGGGGACACAGGGAAGTCCTGTTGAGGACCCCCTGCATCAGAATCAGCCGGGCTGCTTGAGATCTGGGTTCCACAGCCTACCCCATCTGGCACTTGACGACCTAGGATGGGGCCTGGAACCTGCCTGTTCACAAGCTCCCTGAGTGCTTCCTAAAATGCTGAGAAGTGATGGCTGAACTTTAATTCAGGGTGACATGGGTCACCGGGGTGGGGGTAGTTTGCAGCAGAGCCCCTTCCCTGGGCCTGAGCGCCAAGGGCAGCCAGCAGGGCTTTGGGGCAGGGCTGAGGGAGCCGCCTCAGGGAGCACAGAGGCTGCTGCGCACTCCTGTGGGGCTGTGCACATGCTCAGGCAGTCAGCAGAGGCCCTCGGCTGGGAACACAAGAGCTGGGGGTCCAGTCCCATTGATTGTTGGCAGTCTCCAGGCTTACTCATCGAGGGACTCCGCTCGGAAACCCTGACCCAGGTGGGAGTGGGATAAAGGGAGTGAGCCCGGAGGCGGCACCCTCTTTTTAGAGGGCTAATGCTCCGAGGGGAACGTGGTAGAGGGGCACTGGTCATAGGTGGTTCTTAGAGTGTAGAATTGATAAATTCTTATTTTTTTAATCTTTCAGCTAGAAATAACTTAAAGAAAGCTTATGGTCCCCATCCCCTAATCCTACCTCACCCCCCTTGATTCACCTCTTAATTATAGAAAAAGAAAAGATTTATCTGGCACTATGATGGACTCTTCTAACATTTATGTTAACTAAATCACACATTTAGAGCAGTCAAAATTATCTTATTTCAGAAATTAGCATTAAACAGACATTATTCTAGAATGTATTCATGGAAATTTTGAAGTAAGGGTATTCCCATCTAAATAATGAAGAAAGTGTCATTTTAATTAAAATAATTTATAAAAGAAGATGGAAGGCCATTTGGATATGGAAAAACTAGTCCAAAATGTCAATATATTGTTTTAAACTATTGGCATATTTATTTAAATAATGATTTTGGAAGGATAGCTGTGAATCCTAAAAATAAATTCAGAGCTTTTTAAACACCAAGGACAGTATATTTTGTACTTAAATTAGTGGACATAAAATTTATAAAGCTATAAAAACTCTAACACATGATTATCACATGTACCCACTCAAGCACTTATGTAATCAAGAAATATTAATGTAAAACTTAGTCTTTTTGAAGAATGTCTTGGCGGGATATTGATGTAAATGTAGGTTCTGGAAACTCAGGGTATAATTAGAGTAGTAATGCACTGAACTTAGCAGTCACCTATCCAGCAAAGTGGCAACCTCTGTACGGCGCATCTGGAGAGTGTCTTTGATGCACCCAGAGACGGACTCTAAACAGCTGGGCATAAATGTCAGACTCAGGTGTAATGGCAATACCACTGGACTTAGAACTGGAAGATCTGGTCTGGCATCATGAGCTGAGACCTTTCCATGCCTGAAGTTGCTCAATGAAACCTTTGCTCCCTACTTCATGGGATGGTATATGGAAATATTTTGAAAAGTACTGTGCAGTTTAAAAATATCACTTTAAACAGATACAAACTAGTAGAAAAAATGTAGACATTTTAAAAGCAAAATTGAAGCTCCATGTTGTGACAAACAAAATTTTATTTTGTGAGAGATTGTTCTTGCCTTCCTCTTGTGAAATGTGAGGAGTCACAGCATCTATCATTTTCCTCTATTTCAGGTGCGCATAATTTGCTCTGCATCGACTCCTTTATCAAGCTTATTTCTGCATCAGCATCATGACAGTGAGTTGGAGCAAAGCAGAATACTGATGGACGATTTGGGGCTGAGCCAGGTAGTTGATATTAACATAATCTCATTTTATTATAAAACAGCTTAATTGTTTTTGGTTTGATACATGGCTACATTTTGAAAAAGGAATGCAGTATATATTTAACTGTTGATTTGCTGCTTTCTTCTTAAGCCAGTACAGCAGACTTACTCTCAATATCACTAAATTCAGAGAATTATAGTCTTAGTGATCATTTGTGCTTTTGACAGAAACAAAGTACAGCTTAGTGGACTAATGGGCATGTGGTCATACCAATCACTAATGACAGCCCAGAGCTGGACGCCTGGCCACCTGTATCTGGCTCTTGGCTTATTCTGCCACACTGCACTGCCTGTTTTGGACATTCTTGTTCATGTCTGATGGATTTGTAGAGTGCACAGTATAGTGTCCAAGCATGTGAGCTGGCTATTCCAAGAGCATGGAGTACTTAGCACGGCCTTTGGCATAAGAAGAAATCCATGATTCTTCTCCCAGCCCCCATTCCGTAAACCTTTGTGGAGTACCTGTGGGGGCCAGGCTCTGGGACACCCTGGAGGGAATCAGCCAATGCTGGCCCAATGCTCCTGGTCCTCGGGGTTTGGTGAGTCACCCCAGGCCAACCAAAAGTGACTGCATTTCCTTCTTCTGTATAAACATAAATAAGCACCACAGGGTGTATTTCTCAACTGTAAACAATAGAAATATTAGTCAGTGCTATCTGACACCATCCACAAACATGAACTCAAGATGGATTAAAGACTTGAATATAAGACCTGAAACAATAAACTACATAGAAGAAAACATAGGCAGTAAACTGATGGTCCTTGGTCTCAGAGGGGTTTTGGTGAACTTGACCCCAAAGGCAAGGTAAGTAAAAGAAAGAAGAATGAATGGGACTGTGTCAAACTAAAAAGCTTCTGTACGGCAAAAGAAACTGTCAACAGAACAAAGAGGCAACAAACGCTTGGGAGAAGATATTTGCAAATGATGCCTCCAGTAAGAGGATAAAATTAAAAATGTATAAAGAACTTATACAACTTAACCAAAAAACAAACAATTAAATTAAAAAATGTGCAGAGGACCTGAATAGATAATTTTCCAAGGAAGATATACAAATGGCCAACAGACAGATAAAAAGATGCTCAATGCCACTAGTTAAAATGGAAATGCAAATCAAAGCCACAATGAAATACCACCTAATATCTGTTGGAATGGTTATTATCAATAAGACAAGAAATAACAAGTGTTGGATATGGAGAAAAGGGAACCCTTACACACTGCTGGTGGGAATGTAAATAGATGCAGCCACTGCGGAATACACTATAGAGGTCCTCAAAAGATTAAGGATGTAGCTCTCATATGACCCAATAGTCTCTCTTTTGGGTATCTACCCACAAAATTTGAAAATATTTATCCAGAAAGATATATGTACCCCTTGTTAATTGCAGCATTATTCACAAGACATGGAAACAACCTATCTGGTTATTAACCAGTGTTACCCCCAATAAATTTAAGAAAGAAATGTTAGTCAAAATTTTAAAATTGTCTATACACACTCACCTCCCAAACCAGGGGCACCCCATTCTTCCTCAACCGCAGAGGTAAAAAGCCATCTGGAATGAGAAAACAGTTCTTTATTGACCTGAGCAGAAATGATATATTCTCAGAAGTTTGGGTCAATGAGACCAGCCATTCTTTAAAGAGCAAATTTTGAAAATACGATTTCTTACACCTACATGTAGAAATAAATAGCTGCTTATAAACTTATGAGCTGTCATCTTTTGAAATGGCGGTTTCTCTAAGAGCAATGCTTCCATCTGAATGATGTCTTTAACAATTTGAAATAATACAGTTGAGGAGCTACTTCATCTCAGTTTCCAGAGTCCTTTTAATCATTGTCTTTTAAATGCCCCCCCTCCCCATAGGATCGGTGTTCAGATATTAGGCCAAGTAAGCTCAGCACTTGGGCCAAATAATGTATGGAGAAATCAGGGAATGTGACCACGTGGTCAGGCAGTTTTACAGTCGGTCAGTGGGAAACATGGACTTAGTCATCCAGAATTTTTCTCTGAAAAAGAAATCCCTAAAGAGACAAACACTCAACATCCACATAGTGGTGAGCCCTGTTGATATCACTCGTCCGAGGCTGTGTACTGGCCTCAGGGACAGCTCCCCTACTTGACCCCAGGTGGGAGGGTCGAGTGTCCCAGCAACTCTAGACCAGAAGCAGCTCTGGCCTCACAAAGTAAGGCCCGCGCACGGTCTCCATGTCCCACAGGGGACTTCTCAAGCATCCCATTTGAAAGAGGCTCAGAGTTTGTCTCCAGGACCTCCCGTCCTGAGTGTAGTTCTGTCTGTCAAGCTGTGAAGGCGGGCGTCACCCTCTTTCAATTCGTCAGAACGACTGTGTTTTGCTGTTACTCATTTCTGCCATGCAGTTTTGGAGAAAGACTTTCTTTTCTATCTGGCAGTGGTTTAACTGGTACTGGGTTATTGTTTTGTTTTTGGTCACCAGGACGCAGCAGAAGATCTCTCCATGTTTACTGGAGAAGAGGAGATCTTTGCATTTCAGCGCACGATCTCCCGACTCACAGAAATGCAGACTGAACAGTACTGGAACGAAGGGGACAGAAGCAAGAAGTAAACATCACTTCTGCATGACTAAAACGCTGGACAAGTGATTACTGCAGGGAGAACTCTTTATTATGGGACTTCAGGGAATCATTTTCTCATCATTAATTATGCACTTTGTCCTCTGGACCATTTTTATCTAAAATTTCTGTCAAAGATATAGTTGATTAATAAGTTAAAGCCATTTCTATAGGTCTACTTTTTGCCTATTTATTTGGCCTTATTTCTGCACCAAAAAATAAAATAAAATAAAATAAAATCAGCACTCCTGAGGATTAATATTAAATGTAGGACCAGACATCTGGCTTCATGCGAGCCAGCTGGATGAACCCTGGACACACACACACAGTTCATGCAAGGCGTCTGGGCATCTCCCGAGTCTTGGCAGCATTGTTGCCGCATCATGGCAACGCATCTCTTATGAGAGGAGGAAAAAACCCTCCATTTCTATTCAAAGCAAAGAAAGCATTCTGATCTTAGTATAAACTAAAGGGAATAACATTTTAGAATATGGACTTACACATGTGATTTGGGGGGCTATGAATTGTACTATCCTAGGTCTTCCGGTTTCCTCACAACAGAGAGTATATTTTTCACCCTGAGGTTGAGCCTTGACAGGCAGGACATGATCTGCAGCAGACACAGAGTTGCCTGAAAAAGTCAAGGATTGTGACACCATGGAAGGGTGTCAAATTCCAACCAGCAGGCAGATCCAACTCCGAGAACCAGTGAGAGGACAGATATCAGGAATGGGGACCAGTGAGAGAGTGTCCAGAGGAGGCAGGGTCCTGGACACACCAGGCAGCAGAGCGGACTCCTGCTCAGCTGAGGGCAGCAGGGCCCCACTGGGCAGCGGGCTCCTTCCCACTCCTCACACGCATTGGCTCTGGCTATGGAACGCGGCCCCCAACTCTCGTCTCTGCTTCTGCTGAGAGGCAGACCTAACAGTAAATAGGAAAGAACGCTTGACGCATCTGCTTAAATAAAACCTAGTTTGTCCTTCGTTGAGGTCATTCTTTGATTCATTCAAGTACAACCTGACTTTGGTAACTGTTGTTACAGAAAGAATCTTGGTTGAGGCTGTTAAGAAAGTCTTAAGTATTTCTTCAAGAAACAAATTGTTAAATCCACAAAGTCTGTGAAAATCAAATATTTTTTGGAGGTAGGCACAGATGAATCTGTTCAGATAAGTGAGTCATCAACATAATCATCAACATCAGTAAGCTCTTTGAAGCTGTGTAATTTATAAGTTAATAATCTTTTCACATTAGTCTGTTTTGCACATTAACCTAAATCAAGGGAACCCAAGTATGGAAAAAAGTTAAAATCACGGCTTCTGAAACCTGAATGTGGTTAAAAAGTTTTTTGTTGACTTGAAACAGTGAGTTCAAAAAGAGGTGAAGTAGATTAAGAGGGAAAAAGGATGGGAAATAATTTCCAAATGTATTGCTAGATATGTACATGATCTCAGTTAAAAATTAATTCTAGGGAGTTAGTATAATAATTTCTGTTTATGTGTAAGGAAACTGAGGCTTGAAAAAGTCAAGAGACCTGAGAGTCACAGTGTACAAAAGTTGTACTATGTTTTACACCGCACCACCTCTATAAAAAAGGAGACATATTTTAATATTGATTTTTTTTAACTCAGTGAAGGTAAGTTTATAACAGAACCATTGCTTTGAACTCAGTAAATATAAAATGTTTAATTTTATTCTTTCAATCTGAGCTTTTTGTTTTTCATATTTCTGTGGCAGTTATGCTGTACCTTCATAAAAAGACAGTGGATGGACAGACAGATGGATAGCCTGACTGATGGAAGCAGGAACTGTCCCTGAATGTGTTGGGTGTATGTGAAATAGTTCTATTGTGAAAGTTAATCTGAGGTCAGGTATTTGGAATTAGAATTTCATTTTCCCATGGAAACAATAATGCGATGTTAGGGTCCTGGCTCAATGCACAGAAGGCTAAGGTATTCTTAGAGTAGCTGTCCTGTAATTTTGGTACTAAAGAACTTAAACGTCTTTTAAAATTTGTTTCTGTAGGGTAAAACTGCAGTTTAGGCTCCACCTGAGTACCTGGATCATGTTCCTGCTTCTGTCCCAGCCCCTTGGTCTCCCACCCCCTCCTGGGCCTGGTGGGACAGATCTTAGTGGCAGGGGCTTTCCGAGCTGGTTTATGCAGGAAAGCAGGGCTGCTACAAGGGTTTGATCTGGTGGCCTAGGTTCCAGAAGAGTAAAGCAGTTTCATGGTAGCAGGAAATGATAACATCTTTATCTCCTCCTCAAAACAGCCTGTAAGAAATAGAAACAAAAGTGTTGAATAGCTGTTACTAGGAAACAATATGGTAGCTCCACTAAAAGAAAACGAATGTCAAAATGAGTTATGGAAAAAAAAAAAAAAAAAGAAAGAAAGAAAAGATCCCTAGATTGAAAAGCAGTTTCAATTCTTGTGATTTTCTTCCAAGTCCTGCCCTATTACACTCTCGGCATTCCCGCTGTTCTCGGGGGTTCCACAGTACCCCTTGCAGCCAATGCTCTTTTTTGTGAACGCTTTAAATTTACATTTGAAGATGGAGGTTTGAGTGGAGTATTGTTATGGAACACTCACTCACCTAGAGACTCAGATGGAGAAAGACTTTATAGTGGGGAGAATGCCAAGGGCGTCCTCTGAAATGACTGTTGGTTTCCAAACTTAGAAGAAATGACCTGGAGAAAATGGAAAACTCTTCTTTAAAAAAGAGAAAGAAAAATCTGATCACTGCACCACACTGCATTTCTTTAGATGTAGATAAGCTTATTTGCCATCAGTAATAATGAAAGGAAAACATAGTTATTGAGGCCCAAAAGATGATAGATAGTACCATTCTAATCAAATGTATGCGTTTTCAGTGGGATTTCAATTTTTTTTATCATAAGGCAATATTTTAATCTACCTGAAGTGTATTTCCTGTGTCTACAAATGTACAAATGTAAAATTACTTGGAATTTTGAAAAAAATTATTACTTGTAAAATATGTAAATGGATATATTCCCATCCATTTATTTATTTAATATTTAAGACACACAGTGCTTACTCTGTGTTGGGCATGGGGTCTGAGTGCTTTACAAATAAAGTGTTTTGACCCTTAAAACAATCCTATGAGATTGGTACTGTTACCACCACTTTGCAGATGGGGAAGCTGATGCACAGAAAGTGGTTACAACAATCAGTAAAATAATCAAAATATGACTCTATTAAACTTTTCACATACCTGCTACTGTCCTGAAACCAGTCTCCCTACTGCAAGTAACTTGAACCTACACTTGCAGCCCCTTCGTCTCAGATTCAGACACCCAAAGAGTTCGGGGTCCTGGGCCCTGGCACGTGGATTCCTGACCGATGATGGGAATCTGTCTGGCAACACGTCTGTGAGTGATTTTGTAAATGACCTTTATCAGATCAACTAGCCTCATAAGCCATCACTTGCTGGTATAGAAAATAATTTTCTTTGGAGATGAGTGTACAACTTCTTCTTAAAGCAGAATCAATGTTCATTTTTCCCATTGGTGTAGCAGTTCATTTTTCTGGAACAGAAAATGAAAACTAATAAAAATCTGTCCTCTTGTTGAGTGCTGACTGTACAGCTTTGCACTAGAAACCTCACATATGTTACCTCAGTGGGTCACTCAGCCCAGTCCAATGTGTGTACTGACCTGCTGTCTCTGATGGCGTGAAACTCCAGGAAACATCTGTCCCTCTTCCTTGCTTGCTTAGGAAGTCACCCAGAGGTGGTCCTGAGAAGGGTCCCCTTTCAGGGCTGTGCTTGATGCTGACCGCTCTGAGGGCGCCTGCTCTTCTTGCCCGGGTGCAGCAGGAAAGGAGGACTCGGGACCTGGTTCTTGTGACCTTGAACTAGTGCTCTGAGCTTCACTTTTCTCATCTGTAAATAAGAACGATACCCATTTCATAGAGTTATTCTGAGGATAGTTGGTGAAAAGCGCTTTGCAATTGGTGAAGGACTAAATGGCTATTAGTTGTTATTCATACTAATGATTATGATCATAAAGTAACAATAAGTATGAAGTCTGCTTTGCATTATAGCCCTTTGAAGAATGCAAAAGAATAGACAACACATCCCAACCCAGTTCGGTTCCTAGCAGAAGGGAAAATTCACATTAAATGACTGAACACCAAGGATACTTAATTCTGGCTTAATGAGATGCTGCAAAGATTGTTAAATTCAAATCCATTCTTTGAAGAATATAGAGAAAATGGATTGTTTCCTGTTTGGTGAACATTATAGATTTTGCAGAAAGAGGGCACCATCTTGTGGTCAGTGGGACAAACTGACAGAAAAAAAGTCTAAGGATCACACAGGGCTGAACCGTTTTCAGGCCTAGCTCCCATGCCAGCAGCGTCCCGGCAACTAGTCAGATACGGGGCCCAGGGTCAGTGCTTGTGAACACTCGCATGGGATTCCAGTGCTTGATAACCACTGATTAGGAGCTCTTGGCCGTGGCCACATGGCTGGTAAGGACATAGAGTTGGGCCTACAACAGGGTGTCCCGACCCCACACGAGAGCACCTCCCAGGGAGCACGGGCTGCCGCTCGGGCCCTGGGGCCAGCGCACCGTGGCATCCCTCTGACCTCCCGGTGCCTGGTCCTCTCCTTCCTCCGCTTCTCCTCCTTTTCCAGATTCTCCTGTCTTCATTCTCCGCCTCTACAGACAACAGAATAGCTAAACCAGCAGCACTTTCTTCTTTACAAAGCACTTGCTTCTACCCTGTCGCTTCACGCAAGCAATTCTGAGAGGTGTGATTATCCCTACTTGCTAGAGGAAACGAAAGCCTGAGGTAACACAGCTGGGAAACAGAGTCAGGGTTCATGGCTTTGTCTGCTGCTCTGAGGCTTTGAGTGCTTTGGCCCCTCAGCTGCCCCTCTCCCCGCCCCCCACAGCTTCCATGAATTAATACTTGGTTCTCCCCCTGCTTCTCACCTCTTCCTTCTTGGAAAGCTTTTTGTCTCCTTTTTCTTTTTATCACCTCCTCACTTCTTTCTTGGGCTCATTAAAAATGGTAATGATAAAAACAACACTGAATATTATAGAAAGTGCTTTCACGCATGTTGTCTTCACATTCTTTCCTTGATTCCCACAGTTACAAATACCCCCCAATGCCAACAGTCGCCAAGTGTGTATTCCCAATCTCCTGGTCAGTACTTCCAACTGCCTACTGGATCTCTCTTGAATATTCTTCAAACTCACTGTGTCTAAAACGGTCCTGATCTCACCCCATCTTCCATGCCTGTGGTACCTTCTTGCAGTGATATTGTCCCAGACACTCAGGCCGTTCCAATCCTCTGTGAATTGACAAGGTCCTGAACAGAAGGGATAGACATTAGAATCATGTTGAAGCATGACTCAGAAACAGTTCAAGTAAGTATCGGTGCAGAACAGGACTTGGTGGATGGTTAGTTAGTGGAATGCATGGCAAGGCCAACAGTCTGAAGATAGGAGCAACATGATCCCAGCACTCTGGGCCTGTCCTACTTCTGCAGGACCCGAATCGGGCCTGGCGTCTGCCAGTCCTCACTGCCCACCTTAGGGCTGAAGGTTGGCTCTGGAGTCTTACAGAATGAGGCTGGTTTTCGAAGTACAGTAGCTAGTTGATAGTTCTCACTCTTCTGGTTCATTCTTTGATTTATTAAATAAGCATTGTTTAAGTGGTTCTTATGGTGAGGCACTCCCCTAGAAGCTACATGAAATATAAAGGTATAAAAGCTTTAAAAACTGTGGTTGTTTTTATTGGGGAATCGATATATTAATTATATTGTTCTTTCAGGAAAGCTCATCAGTGTAAGTCCGTATAAAAACTAGACTCTCCAAGGCAGACATAGGAATGGAACCCTCCTGACTGGAGGCACCAACCTGGTGTGGAATATCTGGTCTTCTGTCCCTAATATCACCTTCTCCACAGCCCGGCTCAGGCAAGGATGAACCATACCTGTTGCATTTCCCCAGCCTTAGCTAAGCCAGACTTCATTCATGTTTGGGGGTACAGATAATGCACTCAGAAAACACTTGGAATCTATTTAGATAATATGGCTAATAACATTGAACTTGATCATTTTCAGCATGTATCTCTCCTTTGTTTTGGCTCCGCCTCCACATTCCAGGCATCTGCTGTATCTCCTCCCACAAAGAGACACTCTCATAGACACCAAGAAAACCCCAAGAGCTTCCCTAGGAAGAGCAAGGTCCAAAAAGCACCCCCTTCTCCAGTGGGGGTAGACATGATCAGGGCTTGCTCGTATCATGATCAGAGTTCTCCTCTCCCTCCAAGTTCACAGTGAAGCAAGGTGCTGCGACCAGTTCTGAGCGATCGGTTGTGAGCAGAAGTGACGTGACAGGTCACTTCCAAGGTGAAGTGCTTATTCTGGTTTGAGCTGTAGATCTCTCTCCTCGTTATGGAAAACCTAGAACTAT